TTCACTTCGTTTTGTTGTCTGTCTATTTCTTCACTGATTTATGTTCCTGCGGAGGCTCCACGCAGAGTGGCCTGGGGGGGGGGGGAATGCAACGCTACCAAGCGACATGTATTTTTCGAGAGGTGCATGTTGGACGGGACGCATCATAAACAAATATCGCATAATTATCACGAGACTTTCAATATAATATCGGGCAACGTGATATCTCGATAACGATATTGAGTCGATATATCTTGCACCCCTACTAACCACTAAAACATTATAATAAACCCACTACTTCATCTTATGACTATTCATATGATTAATCACTACAGGGACAAATCTGTTCTTATACCATTTTGTTGTACACTAAACTGTCGATTAAACGGAAGGTGCTGGAACTCAATGCAGGGGATGATTCCTGTCACTTAAAATTGAAACATCTATTCGCTGTACCTGCCTGGTATACAGTGAAGCAGCGTTATGTAGCGACTCCAATCAACCTACTGGACCATTTCACAATTTGGTTAAAGGAGTTCAGGCTCTTTAAAGGGATACTCCACCGTTTTTGCGCTTTTCTAAGCGTGTAAAGTGGATAACTATAATGTATGGCGGAATACCACAGCAAGTGCTTGGGAGCTGTAATATCATCACTTGTGAAAAGTCCTCTCCCCCCTCTCCCTCTCCGGAGTGATGATATTACTGCGCCGAGTCCATAGATATATATTTGCCGAGTCGAAGTGCTCCCAAGCACTTGCTATGGTATTCCGCCATACATTATAGTTATCCACTTTACACGCTTAGAAAAGCGCAACGTTTTATTTTGTGTCACCATTCTTGGTCGAGTTACAAGAATGTTACTCGTGTAACTGTATTTAAATAGGGAAAACGTGGAGGTGTTTGGTCGCTTCTCTGCTTGGATCCTAATGAATGAACTGTGCTAAGTTAAGTGCTATCAAAGTGTCACCGCGCGTCAGAGTGATTGAGTGCACGCACTGAGATGAGAGAGGTATGTATCAACTCGTCTTAGTTAAGGGAATAACATAGTTTATTGTGAAAAACGGTGGAGTATCCCTTTAAAGATAAATTAATTCCCATACCAGGACACCAAAGAAAAGAACAAAATTGATTCGATAAAACCATGATAAAACAGAATCAACAGTGTTTTGTCAAGTGTAACTAAAATATATTTAAATCATTATTAAAAATGAATCTCACCCTCAAGTTGTTCTAAATCTGTACAAGTTTCTTTCTTCTTTTGAACACAAAAGAAGATATTTTGAAGAATGTTGGAAACCTGACAGTTGACGGTTCCCATTGACTTCTATAGTATAAAAAAACTATGGAAGTCAATGGGGTCCAGGAACTGTTTGATTACCAACATTCTTGAAAATATCTTCTTTTGAATTCTACAGAAGAAATTAATTCATACAGGTTTAGAACAACTTGAGGGTGAGTAAGTGATGACAGGAAAACATTTTCGAGATACAATAGGGACACCACAGTCCAGACCACTAGAGGGCCACAGACCCCTTGTTGAGGAACACAGCAGCTCTTTAAGTGTGAAATGTGGCTCTCATGAATGTTTCTTGCATTAATTATAAGAGCTCTCTAGTTTGATCCTTAATCAGCTGACAGCTTTTTGAAATAAACTAGTGCTGTCAATCGATAAAAAAAATGACCTAGATTAATCATAATTTAAAAAAAGTTTTTATACGTCTTTTTATACTTTTTATAATGTAATAATTTCAAAGTTAATCTCCAAATTAATGTAGAGACAACATAAAGACAGTATATTTTAAATACTTGTTTAATGGCTTTTTATGAATGAAGGCCAGTATCACTGATACTAATACAGCTACTGATGCCTCATGAAAATGTTTTTTTCCCCAATTTTAAACATTATAGCCATTTTATTAGGCTTTTAATTTAAGTAAACTTCAAACAATCCTCACCTAAACCCATAATAAATGTCATATTTACCTTCGCCCTGTTAGACAGGTAGGACATATACGGAAATTAAAAACAGTTATCAAACAGCCACTTTAAGACCAGCCGCTGCTGCACTACACACGTCTCGTTCTCTCACAACTCTTTACGTTAATTTAAGACTATTTAACTAATTTAAGACTGCTCTTATGAGGATACTTGACAAAACTGACATTTTGGCATAATTGTGTGTGTTATTGTTCGTTCAAGCGCAAAAGAGAACTCGTTTCTGGCACGCTGTCTGTGCGCACGTCTTTCTGTGCGTTGTGTGTGTGTCACATAGACAGGACATTCACAGACAGCGCATTCTCTTTTGTCTTGTCGTGCTTTAAAGGGGTCGTATAATGCCATTTTTATACAAGTTAATATGATTCTTTAGGGTCTAAATGAAAAGTTTTTAATATACTTTAATTAAAAATTCTCATTAGTATTGTAAGTAAACACTTATTTTACCTGGTCAAAAACAGCTCTGTTTTCAGTACGCCGTTTCAGTGCATATGCCTTTAAATGATAATGAGCTTTGGTCACTCCGCCTCTCTGTTCTGTGGGGCGTTTTGACACAACACACGTGGAGTGTTGCCTTGACAACAGTTTGGGTTATATTTTTAAGAGAAAGAATGGCAGCGGGAGTCTCTGAGGACACATCTGTGCAACCGTATCAGTTTGATATTTTTGACATTCTTAATCAGTAACAGACACTGTTATAAACCATCTACACAAGTAAGCTTAGTGTAGTGTTACCACGTTAACTTTAACACCTGCGTGTTTGTAATAACACAATAACCATAACGCGTTGTTCAGTATAAACGTGGGATTATGAATTATATTGAGAACGTCGTACACCGAAAACATGCCGTAATGTACCCTAAGTGTAAACCTTAGCCGCATTCATCGTGAAGCGTGCAAGCGATTTGCAAAGATTAATATAAAGGTTAATAAAAATTCACACTCACTTCTTCTGGAGGTGTAGCAGGAACACGAATAGTTGGTACCGGTTCTTTTTTCAGGAGCAGCTTCTTAGCAAAACCAGCTTTATCCACAACTTTCCCGAACTTTGACCTTTCCATGAATCGCTATGGTAACGTAGAATGCTTAGAACAAGCCGGTATCAAACTTCCTGTTTACATTAGCCTGTAGCTGCTGCTATCAGCTAAACGCTATTAGTATTTAGGAGTAGAAGTGCTATACTCTTACAACAACGCCGCTGGCAAAATGAGCACATCTCACAGATGGTCCCATGGACCTGACTATCTTACGAGAACTGGCGATAGAACAGTTAAAGTGCCCCATCCGTCTACCTTAACGGAATGGGTAGACGATATGAAATTGTGGCCAGACGTTAGCTATGTGGATATCGTTAACTATTTCGTGCTTTGTGAGGGTGTTGATGGTGAGACACTACGAAATTATAAGAGCACAGAGGCTTACAACTATCTACACAGCAACAAAATTGGAAAAATACTGTGTACAAAATACGACGAGTTCATCTTCCTTAAGGCTGAGGTCAAGCCGAGTCAGAGCATCAACAAGCCCAAACAACTTGCTTGGATAATGACGAGGCCGATTGGTATAATCGAAACAGTCGGCTGTTCATGCATTGCAGGGCTAGGAAAATCTTGTAGCCATGCAGCAGCTGTCATTTGGAAGGTAGGTATAGGCTGTTAGAGCGATCTTGCTACACATTAAATCTGTAAATTATTGAAAACAATAAAGAATACCCCTTACAAAAACAGCTTAACTGCAGTTTTTATTCTAAGTAAAGTGCAGGACAATGTCTGTGTTCGAAATATTGAATTTATGCAGTAGCCTACTGTAGTGTGCAATGCCGTTAATGTACAAAAATGTCATCAACATTATGTTATGGCTGATTCAGGTCCAGAATGCAGTGGTTAGTGGAAAGACAGGGCTTGCATGTACTGACTTCGGCATTGAATGGAGTGCGTAGGGTGCTGGGCAACAGGTCAAGCGGGTCCGTTTATGTTGGAAACAGATCCCGTTCATAAAGTCCTTCAGTTTTCGCGTGTTGTTTGTGCACCCGACAACGGCACACGTTGAGCCACAAGGAGCCATTGCGTAGTCTGTCACATTTAATATTTATAAGTAATCAGTTTTCCTCCTTTTGTTTGTGCCGCGAGTAGTGTCCCTTGTTTGCTAGCTTCATTGCTGTCGTCTGTCTCCCTGCTAAGGCTAAACCGGAACTTAGATACCGGCAACAGGAAGTATCGTGTGTCATGGCGACGCCCAATAAGACTCGCAGGAAAGTTGTGAATACTGACCCTCCTCGTTTATAAAGCAGTCTGGTGAGAAATGATTCACGCAAACAAGAAAGCATTGACGTTGCTCGTGGGGAATATTCCCTTCGAAAACAAAACTCAGCCACTGCGTCTTCAGCGGTTCGGATTTGGGAACATCAAAATGACTGAACAGAACACCACAATCGATTAGACGCCATTCTGCTCCAGCGTATCAACAATGACGGACTATGATGACAGCTCGCTCAGGGCGGGTCTGTGTTGAAACGGGGCGTCTTACCGTGTGATGTCGATTTGAGACAGGGAAAACATATAAGGAGATTTAAAAAAAAAAAACACTGGATGGATTTTTATCATTATATGATGGTTGTGTACAGGCACTGCCAACACACATTTCAGTACAATCAACTTGTAAAAGTGCATGTACCAGTATATGACCCCTTTAAAGGTTTAAAAGCATTTGCATGAAGAGGAGTGTGATCATATAATATAATACTAACCAAAGGATAACAGAAAAATCGGATGCTGTGTTAATTGCGTTAAAGTTGACAGCCCTAAAATGAATATTTGTAATGTCTGGTAAGGGGTGAATTTAAAATCTTTAGATTAGCTTACTACAGTTTTACCAAATGTGAAGAGAGATTACATAATCATAGATTTTTAAATAGACCTATCAGAGGTAATAATAAGAAAACAACCTATTATGAGTTTTGTGAAAGCTGGTTTTACATTGTCAATGCTGGAAAGTTTTTAATGGCTTCATGTGTATTTGTGTGTTAGGTGGGAAAAGTGCGGTGCTGACGGCTCTGATTGTGGCCCTGGGCGGTAAAGCTCACACCACCAACAGAGGCTCCTCACTCAAAGGATTTGTTAAGGAAGGAGAGAGGTACAGCACTCCTGTCCTGCTTTTTCTGCATGTTGTCACAGTCTGTTTATAGTCTCTCACGCTGTTTTGTGTCTTTATAATGTTCAGCTCTGCAGACGTGTCCATCACTCTGAGGAACAGGGGTCGTGATGCGTATAAACCAGAGGTTTTTGGTGAATCCATCATCATAGATCTTCGTATCTCCAGCGAGGGACTGCGGACTTATAAACTAAGAAGTAAAACAGGTATACTTACAATTACAAAACCATTTTACCTTTGGGTAGTTTAATCTAGGGCTGTGAGATAACGTTAATTTAGTACTAATTTCAGACTGAGGAATTTACTCTTCAAGAGGCACATTTTTTTCAGCAAATATTGATTTGTCTGGTTAATAGTGATTGATTAATCATGTAACAAATTCAATTGAAATTGTTAATCAGTTGATATAATTGCTTAAACAGGTTTAAACCCGGGATAAGTAGTGCTGAAATCAAAATAAAATCAAAATTACCATTATGGCTTAGTGTAGTTATGAGCATGTTGTCTGTTGTCCTTTTTGCATACATTTTAGATCAAACCGTGCTGACGTGGAAACCAGGTGAAACGTGCCGTGAACTAAGTTAGGCTTTTCAGTCCACAAATCAGCACCATTCACCATGGATTTAATGTAGTTACGCTAACTGTAACCATGGTATTGTGGCAGAAATGGTCAAATGTTTTTACAGTTTTCATTGTAGGGTTCGTACAACCTTTTGAGAGTGGCATTTGAGCACTTTTCAAGGACTTTCAAGTGGTTTACACTTTTTCCAGCATTTCAAAGCACCCTAACCCTAACCCAGTCTAAATGTTATTTTTTTAATGTGATGGCCAAAAACATTATTTGTTCATCTATCAAAGATTGTCCCCATTTGTAAAACTAAAAGTTTAAAGATGTAGGAAAACTAACACGTGCCAAACAAATGTTTTTATTTAAAAATAAAAAAAAGTAAGAAAAGTAAGAAATTGCCACTATAACCAGTAGATGTTGGCAGAGGAGCACTTATTTGCATATTAGCCATTTCCACTCCCTAAAGTAGTGTTTTTTCCCCACGCTTTGCTTTTAAATAGATGTTTAGATATTGTGAATTCCCTATTATAAAAAATTGAATCGTCAAGAAATCAATTTTTGTCAAAGTTTGACACTTTTTGTACTAAATAATGAAGTAGGAACAGTCACAAAGTCACATAAAAAAACTTCTTCAAATTGCGAAGAATTACGCAGAAAGTAAGTAAAGAGTGCTCCTTTTATAATCAATGAAGATGTCGGTCAGTTCAGTATGATTCTATAGAAGAACAATGGTACATTTAATAAGAGTAGAATATAAAAAATGTAGGTTGTTGCTAAAAGTAAATTGTATCTGCATCTCAACTCAAGCTTAGTGCTTTACTTTTCAAATGTGCATTTCCGAGAAATAAACATGTAATATTACATAGTAATGTTTTATATGCAGTTACTAATAATATAATTTTTATGATTAAATTGCCTTTTTGATTAACAATCCCCCCCTTAGCGCTACCAAATCAGGTACTGGCGTCACCATCTGTAGAACTTAGTGCTTGTTGATTGTTCCCAAATGTTAGTCTGGAGCCCTGTGTTGATATATAATCACAACATTTTTGTTCAGATTGTGTTGCCTTACAAGCAAGCACAGCAAACCTGAAGCTTTTTATTTTTAAAGGAATTTAATTTTTTTTAAAGCGTTCATCTCAGAATCAAAATCTCAGTATGATTTTATTTATTTTTTTCTCCAAACAATGGAGCCCTGAACTTTTAACGTCTGTGCTGTCGTGACAAAGGCAAGTGAAGATTTGCTGAAGCGCTCGTAATTAAAGCCAGGATCTAATTCTTTCGTGATGTGTAATCGACAGCCAGTCGAGTCAGATGTGCACATATGCACAACATATGTCTGTTGCTCCACTGGTTTAAATTGACAATTTCAGTGCTACGTTGGTACTTCATATATTTAATCAAACCAAATTCAATAGCTTCATGCTTAGTAATTCACTGCAGAAAACACACTGTGGTTGGTTGGTATGAACCATGTTTATACTCTTTAGTCAACCTGTATTTGTTGTAGTCTGGTTCATATTTATTTTACCTTGCATAGTTTTGTTCATGGGTTTTGAGGGCAAGGGCATGTCACACAACCTGTACGTGTTTGGATCTGCCCGATTCGCTTAGCTTCTACCACATGACAGCTAAATCAGCACAAAAGTCTGACTATTTGATTTATTATTTGCCTCCCTTTATAATTAGGTCACCTAGTGTCATCCAAAAAGGAAGAACTGATCTTCATTTTGGATCACTTTAACATCCAGGTATTTCTCAAGATCTTCTCAGTTTTCAAAATGCTTGCTCAAAACTATTTAAGTAATCTGTTTTGATGAATCTGTTTGGTTCTTCCGTCCTCAGGTGGACAATCCGGTCTCTATCCTTACCCAGGAAATGAGTAAACACTTTCTCCACTCCAAAGGAGAGGGGGACAAATACAAAGTGAGTCTTAATGGTTGTGTGTACGTGTGAATTTGCTTCCCTTAAGACAAATGGAAACTTGAAATTTGTATTGCTCTTTTTTTGCAGTTTTTCATGAAAGCCACTCAGCTTGATCAGATGAAGGAAGATTACAGCTACATCATGAAGACCAAGACCATGACCCATAATACAGTGGAGAAACACAGGGAGGTGAGTGCTAAAATAATCACACCTTTCTATGCCTTGGGTGGAGCAGCTTTGGAAAACAAAATGTGATTTGGATTGCTGAACTAGTTGTTCTTTGAGACGACTGCATAGTTTATTTCTGGCACACCCTTTCCTCTCACGCAGACTCTGCAAGAACTAAAGAGAAAGTACCACGAGAAAGAAGAGCGCTATAAAAACCTGGCTTCACTCGATGAAATGCAGCAGAAGTTGGATGAGCTGAAGAATCAGATGGCCTGGGCTCTGGTCAGGAATCACCGCCTGCACAACATGAGCTCTGACTGCATGGATCTAATCAAAATTCCAAATTCCGAACCAGATTTGATCGATTTATTAATCGTATTATATTTGTAATGGCTTTGTAGTGTTTTTTTTACGGTGTAAAGCGTTTTTTGTACTTTTAACATCCCATTTCAATTAAGTTGCACACAACAACAAACATACAGCATGATTCATTGATTCAATCATGATATAGTCTGATTCACAAATGAATGGTTCATTTTAATGAAAACCATAACCGCGAGTTTCAACACACTATATTAACACAACTCAACCCCGCCCCTTTATTTTGCATATGGGTGGGAATTATTTAATTGAGGAATATTGTGACGTGCACGTTCTCAGAAGAAAACTACAAGACTACAATAGAGGTGTTTCAGGGAGTTCAGAAACAGTGCTCACTGATACAGAGAATAACTCCCTTTCGAGTGACTCTGTAACTTTGCAGAACTTTTTCATCCTCAAACAGCAACATTACACACTAAAGAAAGTTGAAAATGTTAAAAGCTCTTTAAATATCTCATATAACTGAAGATTGGTGTGAGTTGCTTTTGCTGTCATTGTCTTCTCATACTGAAATGTATGTCTGTGTACATCAGGTGGCAGAGGTGGAGCAGGAGGTGAAGCCCATGAGAGAACGAATCGCTGCTGAAGAGAAATCCACCGTCAAATATGACAAGAAAGTGGAAGAGTGGGAGGTGATTGAATATTGTCTATAGTTCCTGTGGTCCAGTATCCTCTAGTGTCATGTAACTTGACATTTGACTACAGGATACAGTCTGGTCCAGATTTCAGCTTTTAAGTAGGCGTTTTTTGGCTAGAATGAGAATGACGAGTAAAGCCATAATTTACCATTTTTGTCTTCACAATTAAGGGTCGGGTTTTTCTGAATTGCATTATTCCACAACACAGATTCAAATTCAAGTGGCTTCACTGTCATGGTAAAAAATCTTTAAATTGACAAAGCATTGGTAACATTAAGTTGAAGGCGTTTACACAAAATAAAATAAAAAGTTTGATAAAATAACAGTGAGAAGGACAAATATAGTACACAATGATTTGGTTTGTTATTCAGTTTTGTTGTTCCGATTCAAATGTGGGAGTTTGTTCTTGCCTGACATATAGATCGTATGTAGCCCATCCCTTTTTCAGCGCTGAGCTCATTGTGTTCTGTCTTCAGGTTTTATATTTCCACAGGATTCATGAATGAACCGCTCGTTTTAAAATCTTCATGGTCTACTGACATTTGTTATGACATAATGTTGCTTCAAACATTACAATGCTCATGATAAATTTTGTTAACTCTACAATAAGTAAATCCACTTCACCAGCTTACTCTTCGACAGCGATGCGATAGAAATATACAGAGCTACCACAAAAACAGAGGTTCAAAGACAATATTCTAAAGATGGCTGCTCGCTTGTTTTTCTGGCGCACAAGTGTCCGTTACACATCTTACATGTACTTACTATAGTAATAACAGTAAATTATGCATAATTACAAGCAACTAATCCTAAACCATACTCATAATTATAGTATTATGTATGTTGATATAGTAAGATATAGCAAGTTGTATATCAGTACTTATTTGTATTATTACAGTATTCAGGGCACCTTAAAATAAAGTGTAACCAAATTGAATGTAAGTAATAGCACAACAGTCGCATGGTTGTATTGAAAATACTTCAAATTTGTGGAAATGATTTTAAAGGAAATTACTACAAAGTGCATCAAACACAAAAGTCTGTATAACATTCCAACTTTGATGCCGTTAACCATTAAGTTCTTCCTCAGAAGTGCTCAAAATTGCTTAAAGGGATAGTTAACCCAAAAATCTAAATTCTCTCATTTACTCACCATCAAGGTTTTCAAAATCTTTACGAGTTTCTTCATGTATGAGATATTTTAAAGAATGTTGGTAATCAAACAGTTGATGGTTCCCATTGACTTCCATAGTAGGAAAAAAAAAAATACTATGGAAGTCAATTGGGTCTATCAATCAATAGTTACCAACATTCTTCAAAATATCTTATTTTGTGTTCAGCAGAAGAAAGAAACTCATACAGGTTTGGTACAACTTGAGGGTGAGTAAATGTTGAGACAATTTTTGGGTAACCTATCCCTTTAAAGTCATCCAATCAGATTGAAACAGCCTGTTTGGCCATTTCTTTCCATCTAGTTTTACAATAAGATTAGTTTGTTGACACAACGCCTCTGAGGAGAGCACGGGCAAATTTTTCTATCGGGCTGCAAATTTATAAACACAATGAAGACATGACTTCTGTTTTTTTCTGAAGTGCTTTTTTTCCCCCTGCCCATTAACATTTAAAGATTACAATCAGGTTCGGCAGACCAGGATTTCCTTATTCTTATTGTGTTTTGATAACAATGAGAAACACTCAAAAACCCAAATGACAAAACACAAGTTCTTAATGCTCCTGTAACATGCATACATTTTTTTCATAAGAGACCATTTGAAACAGCAGGCCATTACTGCCAAAATTTGCTCTTGGGCACAGTACATCAGGCCTGCAACCTCATTGATATTCCAGTTGCTTTCATACTGTCATCTTTTAGCAACCCTGGGCTCCAGCCTCAAAGCCATTGTTACAGAGCTCTGTTGAGTTGTACACAACCAGCAGCCCTAATAGTTCTTTCATTGTGAAGAAAATGCTAATTTAAATCTAATTATGTTTGATTGACAGTAATGTCCATTTTGGGTTTTGTTTGTAGGGGAAAGTTCAGGAGGCCAACAGGATATTCCAGCAGTTGCAGGATCAGCTGGAGGGTGTGACGGAGCGGATGCAGCAGCTGCAGCCACAGTGTGCTGAACTAAAGAGCCGGGCACAGGAGCGCAACCGAGATCTCAAAGCAGCCGAGGTGCAAAATCAAACTCTTAAAATCTGACAAACATGCATGCACAACATAATAGGTTGGAAACTCTAGCCTTGTTCAGACTGTTAGTCCAGGTCAGATTTTTGTGCATGTACGATTGGAATGGGATCATATTTAGCAGGTGTGAAATATAATTTATACAAATCAGTTTTAAAGCTATGGTCATATGTGGTTTGAAATCTTATTCAAATCACACTTCTGGAAATCCATTTCGGTCTGAACGCTCTGATCTGATTTCGCATAGCTTTACTTTTTTTTTCTTTTCTTTTTTTACCAAGTGAAACCTAAACATGAAGGACTTTGTTGGAAACATGCTGAAAGTTGCTGCAGAAACACGGTTGTATTGTTGCTGCGAAGTGCAGGTTGTGTGGAAAATAACAATATACTGATAGTCGGCCTGGTCTACACACCTCTTTTTGAATTTTGAGACCGCAGCACTGAATAAAGTGTCTTTCTCACTGAGCACGATTAAGCGATGCGATGATCAATCGTGGCGCGACAAAGCAAGATTTTTTTTTCCGGACTAGTTTTATGATTATTTTCCCTGTCGCCCTGTGATAAAACGGGCCGTCCAATTAGAGTTGAGCTTTAGATCACGTGCCCGGAGCAGCTGCTGTTGCACACATGGGCGAGATTGGTGCCTCTGTTTAGAAAACCAGTATAAACACAGAATAAAAATACTCCGGAAGAGAGAAGAGAATAGATGTTGAGTTCTTGTTATTGTTGGTGCCTGCATGTGACAGAACTTTTTGAGGAGTGCAAAATAAGCAATAGGTAGTTATTGATATTTCGAATAGAATATATGACACACACACACATTCAATTGCATCTGCTCCAGTTTGTTTGAGTTCACATGGCTTCTCTTCTTCCCATCAACTTCTTCCTCGTTCTGAGTTCCATACATAAACAACTGATAGAAACGTTTCTACAGATGAAACATGAAGCAAAATAGACATGATGTGTATCTGTATGTGGCTCGGGTATTTTTATAGCAAAGGATGTTTACATGAGAAATGCTTAGAAGGTGTAGCGTTCAGTCCATTATAAAACAATACAAATAATGCATGTCTGCCCATTATATAGAATTCAACTTTATTTATTACCAATATTTTCTCATTGAATCAAAATCCACTTTAGATCGCAATTGGAAGTTATTACAAGCACTCGATGATGGTTTAAAGTGGGTTTTGAGCAAAACCAATAATCTCATAAATTGTGATGTGTAGCTTGATGCTAATTGTATCTCTAATGCACCTGTTACTTAGCTGATTATATTGTATGATGTATTTGGTCAAAATAATTATTGTAAGGTCTTGTAAGCATTATAGATAGTTTGTGTTGCTGGTGTAGTAACAACATTTATTTATCTTAACTCACACTGTTGTATGTTGTGCAGCAAACGAGCTGAAAGACATGTGGAAAAACCTACGAGATACATACACAAGAAAAAAAAAAAACTATCGTGTAGCCGAAGGCGATCAACCGTTTCACGATCGATGTGAAAGCACCATTTGTCTATGATTTGCTTCACTTTATCGCGTCGCGCTCTGTGTGAAAGGGCCTTAAAGCAGCGCATGCCAGCCTCCTACGTTCTGCTGCTGCTTCTTCATTAGGCGTAGTATCCCAGTGTCGTGCCTACACATCATGTTGTAAGACAACATCTGTATTACAAACCTCTCCATGTTGCTGTTGTGTTTTTAGGGCTGAGCATTGACAAATTCCACGATTTGATTGTGATTCAAAATCTTGAGATTCGACATATCGATTAACTGGGAAAAAAATAGCTTAACCAATGCTGTAAACCTATTCAGGGAAGCCCAGTTAGTACATCACTATAATATTAAAGGTTAAAATAAACTGATTTGTAGGCTGCTTGTGCTTACATTTAAATTACACTTAAGGAAGATTAATCGATATCGGTTCTTTAAAATGAAAATGAGATTTTTTTTTTACCAGCTCTACTACCAACACAACGTCATTGCCATAGAAGCCAATGCAGATATTCTGCAAAATGAAAAACGCCACGGGACACACACGGCGGATCTGAACGGTTGCCAGTTGCTCATCTCAGTTGTGATTGGTTGACGGAGGAGAAATTCTCTTTGTTTTTGTTTTTCTGGCTTAGGCTGGACTTCATCGGAAAAAAACTAATTTAAGAGACCTTGAGAAGGATAAAAATCAGCTCAACAAGCGTATCCAAGAACTCAAACGGAGGTATTTGAAAAGTGCACCGAAAGGAAACAATGTTACACAACATTATCCTTGTACTATTTCCAGCTGTTTCATTATGACCCGTCCCCTCCTCTCTGTCCAGCATAAGTCAGGCGAACTCAGCTGACACTCAGTCTCGTGTGGAGAGGATGAATCACATTCAGACTGAGCTGGAAGATCTGAGTTTCCAGGACTCCACTCTGGCTCAGCAGATCGATCAGTTTAAACAGGCCTGCGCCTCTGCGAAAGAAAGGCTGGGCAGAATGAGGTCAGTGCAGATGTTGGTAAATGGCTTCACTATATAAAGGTCTTCCATGATCAAGCCTTGAAATCTCTGGGAAATTGAAAATTTTCATGTCTGGAAAAGTCATACCATTTACTCTTTTTTTTTTTTTTTTTGTAATGGAAATTTCCATGTTTTTTATTGACTTAATATATAAATCTCTAAAAATTCATGAATATTTCTATAACAAAATATGTAAATGTAAATTGTTGTTATACCAATTTTTTATTATTATTTTTTTTACAATCCAAGAGCAATGGTATTTAAATAGTGGTATTGAAACGTCTCTATAGAGTGCCCCACTTTTTCAGCAGCCTTAGTTCTGGAAATATTTTTCCCAAAGGGATTCTATAAAAGTCTATGTTTAAGAGTTATAAGACATAACATATAAGACGTATAAAAACACAGCATTGCAAATTTAATTTAAAGCAAATTTTGGCTTTATTGAGGGAAAGAACATTCAGTCCCATGAACAATCTCATGAAGCATCGCAAATAACATAATCGCATTAAAAACAATGGAGAAATATGAATCTTTTTATTCACAGATGTTGATTATATAGAAACAATATATTTTACATTAATTGCAAAACATGTATATTATGCATACAAATATTTAAGTAGTTTGAGAGTGTAGGAACTCTACGTCATTCGCAGAGCTTCATGGAAGTGAGTGGGTGCTAAAAAGTTATTTTGGTGCGACTTGCTTTGCTTCTCTGATTGGTGGATATTTCTCTGCAAAATAATGGGTTATGTAGTTTTTCACAAGAAATTCTGCTTTTATATGATTATTTATAAAAAAAAAATGTTTTAAAAAGCTGAAATAAAGCAGGCCGATGGCTTCAACAGAACCATAATAACGTCTTTTAATAACCTCATAGCTCACAGAAAGTCTGTTTTTAAAGGTTATCGTTCAAAATCATTTCCCCTATGGAGAAAATGAATGTGATTTTTACTTTTGGAACCTGACTGTGGCCTTCTATTACTGACACTGACCATGGGAACTCTTTATACAGACAATCCCAGCAGAGTTTCTTGCTATTATTGAAATTCTGACCACATAATTTATAATGAAACATGTATTAAATGTGGGTGGGAAAAGGGTCAAATAGAAGCATTTAAAAAAAAAAATAATAATAATAATAATGGCCTCTACTGGATCTTGAACAAATGCTTCTTTTTGTTTCTAGTTCTTAATTTGTCTCACTTTTCATTTCTTTCATTCTGTAGCCGTGAAAAGCAGGACCTGCAGCATTCGATTGATTCTAAGCAACGTGGCCTGGCTGCTATGGAAAACAGTCGAAATAACCAAATTTGTCGTTTTGGAGAGCACATGCCAGCACTGCTGAGGGCTATAGATGAGGCTGACCGGCGGGGTCAGTTCAAGAGGAAACCTGTTGGACCACTCGGTAAGTATCCTGAACTTTACAGCTTGGACAAGCTACTTCTTTCTCATTTATTTCAGGATGTAGTTTAGCTCTAAAGCCCAGAGTATACTTCAGTTTATGCATACTCATGCCAATGTGAAATGATCCAAATATACCGCAACTCTAGTTTAAATGAGTATAAAGACAGTTGTATTGATAATAACTTCTGGAGAGAAAAAGCACAAATACTAGACAATGATGAAACTAGCTCACACACACCATCAAATGGAGTATACTTTTAAAAGCAATGTCGTATGGAATTGTTTTGTTTCTAGGATTCTGCATCCGACTTCGGGATCCGGAGCTGGGTCTTGCAGTGGAGAGCTGTCTGAAGGCACTGATGTTAGCTTTCTATTGCGATAACTACGCTGACGAGAGAGAGTTACAGAAAATCATGAGTCGCTGCTTCCCGCATGGCAGAAGACCTCAGATCATTGTCAGCACATTTACCGACACGCTCTACAATGTCGGCAGCAGGTAGCTAGAGATCACCTGACCTGCAAACTTATTTAGCAATGGTTACCAGTGTTTTCTGTTATTCGTCTTTTTCTGCTTTATTTTTATTTCCTGTAAATTTGTTGCGACAGTATTGAATGCTGTTAATATACTGGTAAATCCACATTTGGGTTGCATCTTGAGGTGCTTTGTAAAAGGTCATATTTGCAGGAAAAACCCCACTGACCACCACCCACCCTGGATTTTTTTTTTTTCTAATGTCACCTGGAAAAATGACTACATGTGCACCAGTAATGTAATAATCAAGAGTAAGAACTTGAACACAGTTAGATGCTTATATGTCAAGAGCAAACCTCTTCACTCCTGTTCACATGGTTTTCATTATTCTGATTATTCACAAAGAATAGTGGGTATTTTTACCACCTTTATTCACTTGCCCCAATGATGAACAAATGATCACAAATGATGAACTCGCATACAGTTGTTTAATCTACTTCCATCATATGGAAAACACATTTCTATGGGCGTTTTGCATTTTTTAGGTTACGTGTCTAAAATGTCTTCATTATTAATATACTGCATTATATTCATGTCGTGCAATGTTGTTAACATGAACTTCAGAAATGTATCTTCACTGCTATGTTTACAAATCGCTACATGAAAACATCATCTGTGTACGTCACAAGCACATGCTCACTTTTGTCAATGAAATAGATTCAATTTAAGTGTTTACATGCCTGTTTATTACTTTGATTTAAAATCTGTATACGCCACGATTATGGTAACTACATGTATGAGCTTAATCACATCAATTTGATACGCAAAAAAAATATTGTGTTTACATGAGGTAAAGTTTAATTGCAATATTTCCTAAATCTCATAATAATGAATACATTATGAGGGTGCATGTAAATGTAGTCACTGTCAGGTTGGTTTCATCTCATGCTGGTTTTTAGCCAGTACTAGTTAGTCCTTCAAAGTACAAAGGGAAACTTGTCTGATTGTGAAGATGGATCAAATATATGCATCTTTTTCATTTGTTTTCAGGGCTGTCAATCACCCTGAATACCCAACAGTCCTCCAGGCACTTGAGATTGAGAATCCAGTTGTGGCCAACTGTCTGATCGACATGAGGGGAATCGAAACCATTCTGCTCATCAAGGTGAGACTGGGAGGAGGACAACGAGCATTTTACTGCTTTTCCACATCCTGTGAAGTGAAGGACTCTGTTCATCTTTCCCACAGAACTCTAAAGATGCGAGAAGGGTCATGATGAGTGGACATCCACCACGCAATTGCAGGGAGACTTTCACACAAGAAGGGGACCAGGTCTACAATAACCGTTACTACTCCTGCGATCAGAACAGAGCGCTCTACCTCAGCAAAGATGTCGAAGAGGAAATCAGGTTTGAAAACATTCAACTCATTTTTGAGATCCATGGCTAAAAATATATCATATGGTTCTCCTAGTCTTTGGTCTTTCAAAATCCCTAACTTTAAATGAAAATTTCTAACTAAACCGCAGGTCGATACCAACAACTGTAGTTTAAAAATGTTAAAAGATATTTTTACATCAAAACATTTGGAGAGGCATAATGATAACAATTCAATTGATTAAATTGACACATTAAATTGATCAAGTGTCAGTAAAGACATTTATAATGTTATAAATTAAATTTTAAATAATGATTTTCTTTCTGTTCATCAAAGAATCCTGAAAAAATATATCAAGGTTTCCACAAAAATATTAAGCAGCACAACTGTTTTCAAAATTGTGTGTGTGTGCGTGTGTGTCTGCATTTTTGCTGTTATTTTACTTGGGTGTTTTTCATTAATTTGATGGTGACTTGAATTTGAAATTGATATTATTATTGTGGACTGTTTTCTATTGAGCTTATAAACTGTCAAGAAAGATCAAACCCTTTTTTCTTTGTTCTGCAGACATTTGCAGTCTGCCATACATTCCCAGAGAACACATTTGGATCGCTTTCAGCAGGACATGCAGGAGATTAGTGAAGACGAGAAACAGAACCGGATTCTTCTTCACAGAGCCTATGAAGACCAAAAGAAGGCCCAGGTCACTAAATACCAGCTGTGCACAGACCACAGCATAGTGTTTGACTGAATGTGGGCCTAATGTGTATTTTTTTTTGTCTATTTTGACTAACAGGAACTTTGTCGGAAGCTTCAGGCAGAGCTGACAGAATTGCAGAATGTTGAGGAACCACAGTCTGAGGACTTGAAACCTTTGGTAACAAACAGATTCCCTCATTATGAAGATAAGTGTGATGATGCATTTCTAAGTCTCATTATGTCTCTGTGTTCAGGAAGAGGAACTGGAGGAGCTCAGCAGCCGGATAAGTGCATGTCAAGTGGAATTTGAAGCAGCGCGGAAGCAGATGCTGACACTCAAGAGGGAATATGAGGAGGCTGAGCAGCTCTACCGGCAGCAGAGGGAAGCTTTTAACAGCATCGCAGAGGAAGCTGAGCCCATTAAGGTCAGAGAAGTTTTATTCAAGGGTGTGAAACATCATTAGTTCCTCCCGACCAGCCGATTCTGGGCGACTTTTAAACACCAGATTCCTCTCAGCTAATGTTTAAATGTGAATTATTTAAATTTTAAAATTTAAATTCATTATTCTTTATATTCATTATTTAAAAATTTAATTTATAACATTATAAATGTCTTTACTGACACTTGATCAATTTAATGTGTCAATTTAATCAATTGAATAGCAGACTTCAAGCCATATTATGCCCTTTTCCAAATTCTTGATTTTGTTTTTGAGGTCTAGAAAAAAAAGCCACATTATTTTTCACATATTTTACATTGTTGCAGCACCTCTCTTCACAATCTGTCAGTAACACTCTGTTTAGTTCCTGTCTCCATGAAGCCCCTCCTTCTGGAAAGCACAATGTGCTCTGATTGGTCAGCTGGATCAGTGTGTTGTTATTGGTCAACCAGTTTGAGCGTGTTTCAGAAATGTCACGCCCCTTACCATAACCACCTGTTTCAACACACTATTAACACAACTCAACCAGGCCTCGCCCCTTTATTTTGCATATGTCTTTGGTGGGAATTATTTAAATGAGGAATATTGTGACGTGCACGTTCTCAGAAGAAAACTACAAGACTACAATAGAGGTGTTTCAGGGAGTTCAGAAACTGTGCTCACTGATACAGAGAATAACTCCCTTTGGAGTGACTTTATGCTTTGTATCTTTGCAGAACTTTTTCATCCTCGAACAGCAACATTGCACACTAAAGAAAGTTATAAATATAAAAAATCAGAATAAGTCCTCTTGAAAGTCCGCTCATGATTCTCAAGTTCGCTTAATTCTGAATGAAATGTTAGTATTTATTAAAAATCAATGTATCCAACCTAGTAAACAGTTTTGTTTTTATGTGATTGTGTAGGAGCAATTGAGCAACAGTGATCAGGAGGTGGCGAGGAGTAAACACCACAAAAGTCACTATGAAGACAAACGCAAAACTCATGTGGAAATGATCGAGACACTAAAGAGGAACCTGAATGTCAAGGAGCAGGAGTTACAAGTGACCAAACATTGGCATCTTACACTAATTCATTAGATATGAAAAGATTAGCGTTTGTTTGACTGAATCTGTTTTTTCGACAGGCATCTGTAGCAAAAGCCTCTGAAATCTGCCCTGACCGCTTGGATGTGAGGAGAACGGCTAAGAGTTTGGACAGTGAAATCAGCCGCCTTAAACACAAGATTAACACACAGCAGGACCAACAAGGACACAGAGACACTATCGTCAGGTACAAACCTCACAAAGCATGTCAAAACAAATGTGACCGGATGAGATTTCACCTCACAATCAAAGAAGGAAATAAGAAATCATATTTTTTAAACGGTTAAGATCTGTTGCATTGAGACTATTAGCAGGACATTTAAATGCCAAAATACCAAAATGAACAAAAGTAGCTAAAAGTATGTAACATCATAGTGCTGTGGTTTTCTTTGAGGTGTCTTGGGTTACTATGTTCACACCATGATATATGAATATGGTAATCATTCAGATTTTTCATGGTATTATCTGAGAATGTACTATGTCGCTGCCACAGTACTTTTTTGTAAGAGTTGTTTTGCCTGCATATTTGTGAAGTGGATCTACATATATTGCTTATCATGCAGGTGAGGTTTATTTGATGTTATAATGCTTTAGTTGTTGGTCATTGAAACATCTAGGCAATACCATGAGGCGAAGGAAAACTTCAATAACATAGCCCGACAGGTAAAGGGTCTGGAGGCTTTCATCGGCCAGTTGTCTAAGATCATGAACACCAGGCACAACGTTTATGCTGAAATGCGAATGTAAGTTTCACTTTTGTCTCCATTACAGGCTCTTGGTTGATTCTTGCTAACTGATTTGTAGGGGTTAAACGGATCGTGGTTGTTCCGTACAGAACGGGCCCCACGATTCGGCACGCGTGTTATTCGCGGATTATTTGCAAAGTTTAACAATCAAGTGAAATGTGCATGTGTTTTCCCTATTAAATCAGCAAGGGCTTGTGCATTTTGTGTTTCCAGGTATCTCTCTGTGCGCTGCAAGTACTACTTTGACTCTATGCTGTCCCAGAGAGGGTACATAGGGAAGATGGCATTCGACCATAAAAATGAGGCGCTCTCTATATCAGTAAGACTTTGCATGATGATAACATCATGAATGTAGTTGTTTTCTTGATGAATTGCCACTGGATGACTCGGATAAAATATTTATAGATTCATGCAGTCTTGTATTATTGAATTTTAGTAAACGGCCCATGTTCTCAGTGTGTCTTTGGGGTCAGTATTTTACTACGCATGGATCCGTGACAATACTTCTCCCTGATGATCGTCATCGGTCTCTTCCTCAGGTTCAGCCAGGAGAGGGTGGGAAGGCTGTTCTGAGTGACATGCGGTCTCTGTCTGGAGGAGAGCGTTCATTTTCTACTGTGTGCTTCGTCCTTTCACTGTGGGCCATAGCCGAAGCTCCGTTCCGGGCATTGGATGAATTCGATGTCTATATGGTAAAAAAAAAATTAAATACTGTTTCCAACATTGATAATAATAATAAGCACCAAATCAGCATATTAGAATGATTTCTGGAGGATCATGGGACACTGAAGACTGGAGTCAAGATGCTGAAAATTCAGCTTTACCATCACAATAAATTGCACTTCAGAATTTATTAAAATTGAGATGCTTCAAATTGTAATCATATTTGATATTACTATTGTTTTTACTGTATTTTCGATCAAATATATGCAGCCTTATTGAGCATAAGAGAGATCTACATTAAAAAAAATCTTACCAAACCCACACTTTTGAATGGTAGTTTAAATACATTTTGGCATTTCGTTAATCCTTTTTTTATCACAGAAACAAGTATATTGAAAATAACACCTTGCTGAAAAACACATTCTCCGGGATTTAGGTCATATTTACTTATTAAATTTAATTAGGATTTTTCTTTTTGTCTTCAGTGTATTGTGTATGACACAATTTTTTCCCAATTTAGCTTTTTTATAGTTTATTTAAAAGCTTCTACAATGTTAATAAAAAAAAATTTTACACGTACAAAAATTAAGTGTAGTTTAATAGTTGGTTGTAAAGTGTGTATACATATTAATTATACCGTTTAGTTGTTTTGGATTAAAGTGCCCCAATTATGCTATTTTAAAGGTTCCTAATTTTGTTTTGGAGGTCTCCTACAACAGGTTTACATAAATCCAAGGTCAAAAAATTTAGTTAAATTTTCTCATAATATACATTGCACATTACCTCATTTCTCAAAGAGTCTGAAAATGATTCGTCAAGCACAAGAAGACTGTACCTCAAATATTTTAGGCCTTATATCAGGGCTCGACATAAGCGATGGCCCGGGGCCAGTAAAAGAGTATGTCGGGCTAGTTGATTGGCCAGTCACTGGCCCGCGCGGGCCAGTGAATGGCCATCAGCAAAACAAACAGCAAACGTCATATACAGTGGCGCGAAGAGTGTCAATGTTACTTCAGGTTATAACGTGTTAAAATGTCAAAGAACTACGAGGCTGATACGAGAAAGAGGACATTCCTATAGGGCTGGGCGGTAAATCGAGTTTGTACAATATATCGATTTTTTTTAAACGATATGGAATGAGGCAATACTGTTTAGGCTATATCGATACAGTAGTTTGATAGAGCACATCTGAAAAATAGCGGAGTAAGTTACGCAGTGTGAGCTCCTGCAGTGAAAAAACATAGTACAATTTGTCCTAAACATGACACAAGCTTATATTAAGCACTTCAAAATAACTGGTAAGATATAGTTAACAAGTTTAAAGCAGCTTGCCCTGTCAGATGCTCTAACAGATACTGTTGCTGACTGACAGATAAATACTTGCGCTGTTTAATGCGTTTGAGACGTGGTGCTTTCCTCAGTGCTTAACTTACATTTTAGAGGTAAATTCTCCATCTGTAAATGTTAGAAAGTCAAACAAATATGTCCATTTCACTGTCAGGAGAGGACGAGCTTCTGCAAGTGAATCTCCGCTAATATTCAAGCTTCCGTGAACGAGCGCTGCCGCGAGAACGCGCGCCTAACAGATGAGCACAATAAAGAGTAGCGCAATAATTCTGACTAAAAGATACATATTGCTAAAATATTTGTTGTTGGAGACAATAAATGTGCCATATGTGGAATTTTAAACCTACAAGTAGGCCTATGTTTTTATGAAAGTGAGCATTATAACGGGGTAATCAAATGCAATATAATTAGTTGTGCTTTTGTTTTTATTTTCATTTTTAGTTTAGCCTTAGTCATTTTAAAAACAAAAGCATTGTTTTTGTTTTTAGATTGTAATGTTAGAATGTAATGTGATTTTAACGACCTTTTTGCACGTAATATATTGCATAGCCTACATTACAGTCACTATATTTGTTTCCATATCCTTCAATATCAACATTGTTTGGATATCATTCAGCAGGATGTGAAATATTTTTTTTAAAATAAATACAGATTTTCTTTATCCAAATAGAAAAACGTAGAAAGTACCGAGATATATATCGTATATCGCCATTTAACCAAAAAATACCGAGATATGATTTTTTTGCCATATCGCCCAGTCCTAATTGACCCTTCGCTAAGGCACGCCCGAAAACCGCCACTGGCCAATCGTGGCTTAGCAACCGTAACTAGGCGCGGGAGGTCTGTCAAGCTTTCGAGCGAGGCAAACATGCCGACGCGTTGTGCGTATGGATAGTGCAAATCTGATACTCGGTATTCTAAAAGTTTGGACGGTGGGGTGGCATTTTTTCTCTTCCCGAAACCTAAAAGCCAAAGGGGAGAAATCCCGGGCGTGGATCAAGCAGTGTGGGAGACCCATTCACAACTAAATGTCGACAGGCTTAACAAAAAAAACTTAAAAAAAAACGCCTATTGCTTGGAAATAATGGCGGTTCTTTGTTCATAATGCATATATTTGAACATAAAATAAGACGATTAAAGGCAAGACGGAGGCTCACTGACATACTTTAAAATATATTTCAGCACTTTGTTAATCGACGGCCTACTAACGTTAACTTACCCCAGTAACTTTACCCCAATCCGATCGCGGCTCTCCCGGTGTTAGATTGATGGATAAACTGTTTGATTTGTAATTATTAGATTATTTTCACATTTCACTTACTCTGCTGTGGTTGAACATAGCTGTTCAATTTGTGTGTTTCCCATGTGAATGGTCTGCTAAGGAGACGGCTGCTGCTTGCGCTGGGACCTTAACGTTATAGGCTTTAGCTTCAATTTTGATGAAATTATTCTCTAATCGGTTGCATATTATGTCGTGGATATATCCCTCGAATGCATACTGCTGTCCCTGTTGTCTGGCTCTCTCATATATTTCACCTGTTCGCCAAAAATGACTAATTACCTCCTTGGGAATGTCTGACAACGGTGCATTCACACTGTAATAGACGTGGCAGCCGCGAAAGCTTGACAGGCGTAGCAACAGTAACTAAGGAGGGCGGGGCTTAGCGAAGGGTCAATTCCTAGTGTCATGGAAAACACAGTACACCTGGGTGGAGAAAGGCGATGAGGGCATGTACTGTTTCGTTTGCCGGAAATTTACAACAAAAGCCGACCAAAATGCATAACCGGCCTGCCGAGTGCCGACGGGCTATCTAAAAATAGTGTAATCAAATTCCCCCCTAAACTTCTGCCTAGCCCCCCTAAAAATGTGTGATTAAGTGTAAGCTACACAAATTTGTGTTCGCTTCAGTCTTGTTATAATCAGATTCAGCGCGTTCTTCATTTTTTCTTCATTGACAGTTTTTTAGGTCATAAATGTTAAACGTATGACAAAAATAATCAGGCAAACTAATATACTTTTGTCTAATTTCGCCATTTTGAAGTGAAAATATAGCCTATGTAGCTCATCACTCATGTAATGTAATAATTAGTTTACTGTCATTGTGAGGGGCCAAGAAAAATTAATCCTAATGTATACAATAAATACAGTTTAATGCAGGGGCGGACTGGCCATCTGTGTGATCTGGAGAATCACAGAACGGCCGGTACTCCAGGACGGCCAGCGGGCCGGCCCACCACCCGCCACACACGCAGTCACAGACATCCCAAGTCTCCCGGAAGTTCCGGGAGTCTCCCGCATATTGATAGCGGCTCACTGATGCCCGCAAATTAGTTAAAATCTCTTGGAATCTAGAGCGAATAAGAGCGCACATGCGTAGTGCGCGCACGGCAGAGAGAGGGAGCGAGCTAGAGACCTTGCGTGTGTGTGCTAGTGTGCGCGTGTGCCTCACGAAGCGCATGTAAGGACCCAACCAATCAAGTGCGGGCGGGCTTTTATCTCTACTACTCACGAACTGAATTAATCAGAAATTACTTTGCAAGTTACTTGCTAGGGATGATGTTAGGAAGTGATATTCAGCTTGCTACATTTTTAATGATTACAGTAGTTAAAACAGCTAAACTTCAACATTTTAGCTGTAAAATGCCACATGCTGTAGCTAATATTAAGAAAATATGTTGTGCTTTTACTTTTAAAAATGTTGGTAACGTTACAGTTAATGCTTACAAACTTTGAAGATTTTGAATACAGAAGTTACATTTGTAATGGTGTAATTTCATTTAGATGTGGTATTATTATTTGTGCAGTAGCTAAGATTAATTACTGCATAAATTAATTAAGATTATTAAGTAATAAATTCATGTTAAGACAGCATGGAATAGATTGTATAATTTGCTGTTAGCTAGGTATAGTATTATGAGCCACAATTAAAGTCTTGTGACACTCATGCCAGGCGGCAGGCGTTATTGTTGTTGTTGTCGAGTTTCCGCGCGCCGATTGCTTTGGGCCGGGCCTAGTCAAAGTCCAGGGCCGTTTTTTAGTCCCAGTCCGTCCCTGGTTTAATGTAAAAGTGCTTTTCATTCTATTTCTTTCAGGGCCAGTAAAAATATAGAAGGGGCCAGTAAAACTCTGATCTACTGGCCCTGGGGGCCAGTGGGGACTTTTTTTTATGTTGAGCCCTGCTCATATACAACTGCAGTTTTTGAGGGGAGATCAAATCAGACGTTGTTCTTGGGAACCCAGTGAAGACCATAGACTGGCATTATGCAAATTTGTCACATTGTTACATAGGTTTGTAACTGAATTGCTGATTGTTTCAGCAGTTCAGAATCGATTCTTTCTTGTAGAAGACATTAACTTTGTTGTGCACTTTTATCTTTAAAACTTTGCAGACCTTTTACCTTCACAAACAGCCATTTTACACACTGCATGAAAGGGAATATTCAAAAAAGCATAATAGGGGCACGTGAAAACAGTATGTCACACTGAAGGACACTGCTGTCACTGCTTGATACGTCAAGTACCCAATAACGTGTGGAATTAATGTCATGCTTAAAAAGATGATACATCCCAATCAAAATGAATTTGAATGAAGTCTAAAGAGCTGTGCGTGTGTCTCTCTCTCTCTCTCAGGACATGGTGAACAGAAGAATCTCGATGGACATGATGCTTAAAGTCGCTGCCAGTCAGCGATATAGGCAATTTATTTTCCTAACACCACAGAGCATGAGGTAAAGAGCTTCTCTGGTGTTAATGTAAAACTAGAGTTAGATTAAAAGACATTGCCTTATTCTTACAATTAATAACGTGCTGTTCTGCTTTCCTTTTCCCAGCTCTCTTCCAGATAACAACATGATCCGCATCCTGCGTCTCAACGACCCTGACCGTAGTCAGTCGACACCGAGGAACTCAGAATGAAGCTGCTGTTGGCTGAACTGCGGTTTACACCACTGCACTTTACAGTTCCATCTATACCCTTAAATGTTTACAGTTTTCTTTTTCCAAAGTTGTACATTTGAAAACTAATTTAGTTATTTAAGACCCAAATTTGCAGGTTCTGTTTAGTGCTGCACTTTAAATTTTTCTAAAAATAATAGTTTTTAAGTTTTATAATACAAATGTTATTACGATGTTATTTTCATTGATAATTGGTTGAATAAACCTTTTGAATAAGTCAAAAAATGTACTTCATTTTTCTCAGTCTTCCGTTGTTTTGGTTTCATCAATTTAGAAATGAAAATGTTTCGTTTCCTATTTGAACTTTCTTTTGTTCAAATAGGAAACATTTTAATTTCTAAAACTAAAACAATCATGTGTCACTTTATTTTGTTCATTCATTCACCAGGCATGTGGTGTTGTACTACTGTGGCCCATTTCATGAAACTACCTTAACTCTTTCCCTGCCACCGACGAGATTCTCCGGCTTTCTGTATTTCACTGTTGTACGGTAGGGGGCACCATTACACATCTGATAGAGAACTGAATCTCTCCTGATCAAAACACTGGTGAAGAAGAAGCAGAAACAAGCGATAGAAGCATTGCTTACGCACATGTAAGCTAACATGTTTATCAACATAGCATATAAATCAAAACTGCCTAATGTTACTAAATGAAATGTCCACCCAGGACGAGCTATAGGACTGAAGTTTTAGGGGTGTTGATGGAGTCGATCTACTACATCTGTGTTTTTTGATCATCGGTCTGAGTCTGATCCAGACGTAGTTTTTGACACAAATACGATTTTCTCTGCTTTATGTTCAAATTCAAAATGTTGCTTTTTTTTTGTGAAACTTGCCCACATTCAAGTTTTGATACAAACGTGCATGAAGCTAGATTTTTTTTTAGCAGAGGCTCTGTTCTTTCTTTTGACAACAGAATATTCATGGGCCATGACTTTTTTTTCTGAAAATGATCAATAATCCTGGTGCCGGCTGGCAGCTTTATAAAACAAACGCTGGTGAGGATAGTTAACTATTTCATTGCTTCCCCATGTAAGGTTGAGTTTAGTTGGAGCAAAACTAAATTCAAGTTTTTTTGGCTTCAAGAAGATTGTTTTGTTTTTTTATGCAGTAAAGCCACTCCCTTTGTATCTCTTGCTCCAGATCACAATGAAAGCATTTTAGAGCGCTTTTGCAGCAAATTGTTTGTTTATTTGATACATTAGAATATATAAAGATTTTAAAATTACTAAATTTACGTATTTTCTTTTAAATTCAGTTGCATTAATATAGTCATCCTTTCTTCCAGCTGCATTCCCAAGCATTTGTGGCTGCAGCTGTTTCTTCCTGCCTTGTAAATGTGTTTAAAATCATTTTCATACCGATTTCTTAATCATCAGCAGAGAAGCTAATTGTGCCGACTCATGAGAAGTGAATCAACCTGATGAGCTCCATGTTTCATTGTGGTTTGGCTGTTCACACTTCTGTCTTCTGAATGGGCAGAATGCAAATAGTGCTGTAAATTGTGGTTTCCCAGTGCAGTTTATGATACAGTCACAATGGCACTGATTTAGTTCTGTGATAATCTCTGAGCTTGTACTTCAGTTGTGATAAGCATCTATCTCTGTCAGTGAGTCTCTTACTTCTTTGTTGATTCAGCTTTTCATTGGTTAAAAGGTCTTTTTTTTTTTTTTTTTTCAAGGCGGTTCTCAACCACATTTGTGTTTTTTGTGATCGATAGTGTGCCAACTGGCCACTGAATATTTTGCATTTTTTGTGGCCTGTTCATTGCTCAGTCGTTGCTCGTTGTTCCCTAATATTCAAAACATGTTATCCAAACAATTATTTAAAGTGAAATCAAAATTAGAGCTTTGTGAATTTTGTCTGTGTGTTATCTTTATTCAGATATATCTTTATAGTTACCAAAGCCATCTTTTAGCATAAACATGCATTTAATAATTTTATAGTATTTCTTCTCTGGAAGAAATAGACCAAACATAATGATGACTCATCATGCACTACACAAATCGTTGTCCAATCAAATCCTCCCTATAGTGACAATGTCCATCCCCTTAATACGACCTGCGACCAACAAACATACAATCACGGTAACATTTTATTTTGATGATCCCTTTTGAACATCTGTTGCTAACGTCCTCTGTTGACTATAAGTAACTTTGCAACTACATGTAAATAACTCTCATTAGAGTATTAGTACTGTCTGCTTAACATCTGCTAACACTTTATTGTGATGGTCCTCAAAGAGACATTCTACTGACTTTAAGTAACTTTGCAAGTACATGTCAAGTTATTCTAACCCTAACCCTACCAGTCTACTAATACTCTACTGACACTCTAATGAGAGTTAGTAGGCATGTACTGTAGGTGCAATGTTACTTATAGTCAACAGAATGTGTTAAATCAAAATAAAGTGAAACCCAAATCAGAATTCATGGTTGTGATGTAAAGCCTATTTGATTATATAGATTTCATTTCATAGGTTAAATGTTTTTTGTTTGTTTTTTTAATTATCACTTATAATTAACAAAACTACCACTTGCATTTATTTAAAAGAAATTAAAGATCAGAATCATAGTGTGAACTTTAGGTAAGAAAGCAAGACCAAAATAAAGCATAATTTATTTTATTGCATAAGCTGCCAGTTGTATAAATATGTTAGGACCTACAAAAATAGTTGCTACAAATCATCAGCTTATTAAAAAAAATAAACACAATCAAGCAACGATTGTTCTGGTGATAAAACAGGTAGCATAATAATTAGTGGCTGTACAATTAACTGTTAGTAGACAAATCTAAGTTCAGGGCTCAAGTATTTAGGTAATATAGGTGTCTTCCAATTCACCCCTACAAAACAAAGTATAGGTCTAAGGTTCATCCAGAGGTCAGTGCAAATCCTGGCCATCATTCCTTGGTGGCATCAGCATAGAGCAGGAATCCAGAGAACGTGCTGTCGTCCTCGCTGCTGGAATAAACACCGTTCCAGTCCCGCAGAGTCTCCAGCCATACCTGGTCTCCAGATGATAGGCGAAGCACTGCCATGTTAGAGGCCTGGTCAATGTCCTGGCCATAAAGGGAGTCACGAGTTCGCAGTTTCCGAATGCCGTTCACCACCAGGGCTGCGCGCAGGGGGCGATTGCGCACAGTTATGTAGTAGGAAAAGACGTAAACTCCCCCATGAGTGCAGTTGAACTTACTGCCGTGGGGGTCCCAGTGGCCTTCCTCATTGTAAATGACTTTGTCAAACTTGATAGGCAGGCCAGGTGGCGGGAATGATCGGCTAGGAAAAAGACCAACGCTAAAGGCTGAACGCTTCTGAACGGCAGGTTCGCCTGGAAGGCCTTTGAATCCCCTAACACCTCGTGCTCCCTTTAGGCCTCGTGTGCCTTTCATCCCTGGCATCCCCCTCTGCCCTGGTGGTCCATGAGGTCCTGGAGGACCAGGCTCTCCCTGCTTACCTGGGGGTCCTGGGTCTCCCTTCAGCCCCTTAGCCGCAGGAAGCCCATCTGTGCCGTTCAGACCTGGCGCACCCATGTCTCCTTTTGGCCCTTGAGGCCCTGGCTCCCCCATACTGCCTTTCTGCCCTCTCTCTCCAAATGGACAGTCTCCTTTGTCACCCTTCTCCCCCTTGATGCCATCTGGTCCGGGGAGGCCAGTCAGTCCTTGTATGCCAGGCTCACCCACTTCTCCCTTTGTTCCATTCCAGCCGGGCTCTCCCCTGTCCCCTGGGTCTCCTTTCAGCCCGGGTAAACCGGGATCTCCTTTGTCTCCTTTGAGACCCATTTCACCTGCGCACATTAACATAGACTAGAATTAGAAATTTAAGGCCAATTCTTAAAGGGATACTCCACCCAAAAATGAAAATTCTGTCATCATTTACTCACCCTCAAGTTGTTGCAAACCTGTATGAGTTTCTTTCTTCTGCTGAACACAACCAAACAGTTGTTTGGCACCATTGACTTCCATAGTAGGAAAAAAAAATACTATGGAAGTCAATGGTGCCAAACAACTGTTTGGTTGTGTTCAGCAGAAGAAAGAAACTCATACAGGTTTGGGACAACTTGAGGGTGAGTAAATGATGACAGAATTTTCATTTTTGGGTGGAGTATCCCTTTAACTGTTCTAAAAGGCTACTGGTGAACACAGCTTGATAAGGTCAATGTTAATGTAATGAAATGCTTAAAAAGACTAAAACAAACCTATATCATACTATTTATATAGTAGTAGTAGAAGTAATGGCACAGTTTCCTGAGAACAGTCCAAAAATCAACATAGAAAGCATATCATAAAGTGCATCAAAGACTGGGTTAGAGCTTTTGTCACAAATGAATGTACCTTTCTCTCCTTGTTTCCCAGTAACACCGGGAATCCCAGGTAGCCCACTCACTCCAGGATCACCTTTCTCTCCTGAAGGAGGAAAGGACATCTGTCTACAAATGTGTTGCACGTCTACTCTTTACTGACACAGTGATTTTGAATAGATCTCAATCCTTAAGAAGAATACACAAAGGCTTTTTTACTGCATAAAAAAAAAAAACCTGAACACTGGTGTGTTTATTAACTTCAGTGGTTACTCCAGCTTGCTCAGGCTAGAAAGAGAGAAGAATCAGAGATAGAGAGCTCTAGGCACACAATTTTGCAGACCACCTTTTGTGCAATCTCAGGGAACTAGCATTGCCAGTTTCAAGACAAATGGTAGGTTTTGCCAACTTGTGTGAGCATGCAGGACTACAAGAAAGGGAAAGGTTCAGTGTGTTTGATCTCTAGGCGTAGCAATTGTTTTTTCTAATATGGACATAGGAGAAGCCTTAAAAATACACACAAACTCCATGTAATTCTCCTTGGCTAAGGTCAAGGTCTTCTCAGATGTTTGTTCTCGCAAAACAAATATATTTGTATACACATTCAACAGATGATTTCCCTAATCCTTTGTTTATAACTTTGGATAGACTAACTATAGAAGATGTGAAAAAAAGACTGATGGTCCTTGTGTAAACAGTGTTTGCCTTTTAATTCCTTTTGTCTCCTTTATATGGAATCTTAAATGTAAAACTTACGATTATAACATCTAATAACTTTGATACAACAGTTATTTCCAGTCCTTGAATTTGATTCGAAGAGTGCTGAAATACAGTCCAACTACACTGGGAATTTTCACTGATTGTATTACTCTTCTTGTTTGTGTTGGTGCGTTCTAGACAGACAGCCAGTGTGTGTATTTGTGGT